CTGGTAGTCATGAAAACAATACTTAATTCGAAAAAAATAAAGTATATTAGTCGATTGTTCAATTCATAACATTGTAGGAAAATTTTTCTTCTACCAGTCCTTCATCAGCTTAAACGAAATTGTGTGAATACATCTTATACTACTGATTTACTTATAGTCATGAAAACAATACTTAATTCGAAAAAAATAAAGTATATTAGTCGATTGTTCAATTCATATCATTGTAGGAAAATTCTTCTTCTACCAGTCCTTCATCAGCTTAAACGAAATTGTGTGAATACATCTCATACTACTGATTTAATGGTAGTCACGAAAACAATACTTAATTCGAAAAATAAAAAATATGTAATCTAGTCGATCGACATAGCAAATACAACTTTGTTTTAACGACAATCCCACGAAAGAATGCAAAGTGGGAAAATGCCTGGCCTTTCTTAAAATTTGCATTTGCCCTCTGACCCAAAATCACTCTTGTCCTTCCGGCGTAGTGGTTGGGGTATCGAGATCATATGCTGCACTGTCATGGTTTGAGTCGCGTTTGGGTGTTGATAAGACCAGTTTAGGCGAGATCGACACTGAACTCAACTCAAGCCGTGATGGGAATTAAAGTTGGGTGAAATGCACTTGAATTGTGAGACAATTCAATTAACAGTCATTCGTCACCTTAAAAAAATAGGGTGAATAAGGACATCTTCTCTAAGGTCTACTATTAGTCGCTAAAACCTGCCAATGAATGAAAAACGAATGCCTTCATTGGTTTTTGAAAAGGTTTTTGAGACTATCAGTAAATCAGTAGTAGGTGTTGAAGCATTAGCAGTTGAATTTTCCTGCAATCATGTGAATAGAACTGACGTTCCTTTTCAATTTCACATAACCTGGTCTTTTAAAAAGGTCTTCTTATCCAGGCCGAAGTAGACTGAGTTTCGAACTCGCCTCAAAATAATCAACATCCCCAGCAGGAGTCGAGCGATGTCATCGCAGCTTGTAATTACGACATGTTACCCACACAACTCGAACAAATGCCTTGATTATTTCAAGCGAATACTTTCATCAATATACATCATACTACTTATTTGTCAATTTGAGTAACCTGATGTCAATATGGCAATTCGTCATTTATGCTAAGGCTCAGAAAAATGTAGTAGATGTGAAAACGAAGATGGAGTGGTCATCTATTTGGACGCAGTCGATAAGATATTGCTGGAGAGACTTTTATTTCGTATGAAAGTGCATGCAGAGGAGATTCGAGGGTCGATCTCACCATAAGATTGATTCCGGTTCTACTGCAACCGTTTGGCTTTAATACGACGTTAAATTTGACGCAGTCTACGAGACACCCTTCCTCGTTTCGAGTGAAGCGGATTGAGTTTTCGTCCATCATTTGATGGACATCATCACAACTGGAACTCATTCTTGTAAAAGTTTCACGTTGACGCTCGGTCAAGAAGACTATCCAGCTCTATCCTGCCAAGTAAATATGCTAATAACTAAAAAACAAACACGAATATGCATAGATAGATATAGGATGGTGTGGCTAATTATCTTTCATGCTGTTCTGATAATTTTGCCTGTGTGTGTTTGTGCGCGCGTGTGTTTGTTGACGTTAATACGAAATACCGGTCCTAAATCAATGATCAAAGGAATATTATCAGGCTCTGCTCATCAGGGCCTAATGACCCAAGAGAAAGCCATGACCGAGACTACGTAAGTTCATAAGCGAGTGTGGTTGAGATGATGAGATATGAGCTTGTAAGCATGTAAGTCAAGTCCTAACCTCTCCGTCAAGGGTCATTAACGTTTAACCCCCGAAGGAATGGCATGACTGGTACGTCTGGTTTGGTTGATGAGCTGAGTCTAACATGTTGGACGAATGTGAATGAAGTTAGAAGCATCAATGAATGTACAAGTTGAGTCGTCTTCTTTTGGATTGCAGTTCAACACCGTCTCTCTTCTTCAATCTCTCAATCAAGCTTGAGTAGTTTTTATTCAACTTTCTACCACCATTACTCATATTCAACGCATTCACTAATCTATTAATTTCAATAGCCCATCTTATTTTCCCGATAAAAGCAGACCTTGTTTTCCTAGTGAAAGCATGAAATTTACGGTTTCTATGCTTCATCATACAGCAACACGGCTGTGTGATCGGGCTCAAAAAACCGTGAGCCACAAAAATCATTAAACCTCGTTGTTTTAAGTCGCAACTATCGTATCCCATCATAAGAGAACGTAGAGGATGGGATAATACGCCTCATTTCACCTGAGGCTTTTGGTCGCTTTTATTTGTATTAAGTAGTATGACATAGAAAATACGAATTTGTCCACTCGTTAAACTCATCTGCCCTGAGGTGAAAAGACTGAGTATTGCAGTTTATTAAATATTTTTTTCTTGGTCGACTAATCCAGTTCACATCAGCTTCGCGTGCGCAACCTTTGGTTCCTGCCATACAATTGCATAATAGGCATTCTTTCCAAGTTTTCTCGGAACATTATTTGGCGCCCGTTTTTGGCTGATCTCAACTTAATAATAAAACCTTCGCCCGTCTCTTTGATACTCCATTTTCGCGCTCTTTTACTTTCGCTGACCCACCTCCGGCCGTCTAATTTACTTTCAGGCAACCGTTTCACTTGGTTTGGTCGGATTGCTCCGCATTTTGTTGTTTGCGACTTGTTTGATCTAGTTTCCTTGAATTGTCTGAATAAGCAGAAAGACCTTGTGAAGCCTGACTTGTTGTGTTGCCTCTGCCAAACTCGTCAGCATAATTAGCACCATTTTACTTGGTACTTGGTACATTCCTTTAGGGCGAATCGAAGCTCGGTTTTCGACAAAAGTCGATTTCGAGGTGCCCAGCACTTATTGATTTAGTACAATCGGATGATTGAGCCTCATGTGCAAAATGCATGTTACATGGCCTTACTTCCAAACGGTTATTCTTGTTGTTTGGGGCGACTTTCAATTCGTATGAAGGTGCTTGAAGAAGAGATTTGTAGGTCAATGTCACCAGAAGAGGACGGATGAATCGTTCAGTTTACGAGATCTCCTCCCTCGTTTCGGGTTTAAAGCGGGTATCATCGATGGACATCATCAGAGTTGGCTCTCGTTCCTCATGTCCATGGAAGGATGGACGTAAGCTCAGTCCGTTTTCACCCGAAACGAGGGAGGAGATCTCGTGGACTGAACGGTTCATCCGTCCTCTTCTGGTGAGATCAACCTTCGAATCTCTTCTTCATGCAATTTCATACGAAATAAAAGTCCCCCCAACAATGTCA